AACGTTTTAAACTTCAAACTGTAGGAGTTAACATTAAATATTTTTCAAGCATGAGCCAGGTTGTAGGAGTGCACGTCTATGATCCTGTTCACTCTGGAGGTGGAGGGAAGAGGATAGCCATTTCAAGGCCAGGTTGGGCAATTTATTGCAACGCTTCTCAAAATAAAAACTTAAAAGGGCTGGACATATAGCTAAATGATAGAACATGCTAGGTTTAGTCCTCAGTACCACAAAAACGAATTCTTTCAGTGATGTGTAAATGTCAGAATAGACTTATAATTTTACTAAATACTTGCATATATAAGCACATACAGACACACCCTTGAGTCAGTGTAGTATAAAGTATAAGGATGTATCTTGTTTACTTTGTGCGTGATTTTGTGTCCATTTTGGTAAGTTTAAAAAAAAAAAACTTCTAGAACATTATTTAAACTGAAATTCTTTTAAATTTATAAACTAAAATTCTTAGGAGCAAGGCCCATCTTTTCTCCTGCTTAGTAAAAGTAGCACTGTCTGTGTTCAGTTCATCATGGCTTAAAATAAAAGATAAAGAGAGTGGTCAAGGGGCAGGGAATGTACCAACATTGCAAAAAAATAAAATAAAATAAAGGAGAGAGAGAAAGACAACATAAGGAGTGTTAAAAAGCAGGGTTCCCTCCCATTCTTCCTAGAGCTAAATAGGAATTATTAGGCCAGGCACTGTATTAATTAGTAGGTAGTAAGTAAAGGAGATACAAAAGAATAATTGTAAAATAATTTAAAACTATGGAAGTAATGCTTATCAAGGGTTAGGTACTAAAAGGCAGTGGAAGGTATAAATCTTCAATAACTCAACATGTAGGATAACTTTTTATTTAAAGCTCTCTATATGTAGCTATGTATATATATATTTTTTTTGCTTAAAAATTCTTAAATACCACTTAAGATTATTAATATGTGATTATATATAGATAATAGAATTTATACATTTCCTATGCATAGTTTGTATATTACTATAAAATGAATAAATAAAAATTACTGTTAGTAATGATTTGATATTATGAAAGATGCATAATTTGTAGCACATGTGTAATTTAAATAATTAAATGCTTAGTTCAAACATTAGCTTAATTAATGAGACATATTGAAAAACATCCAACTTAGTTAATCAACTGTAATTGTTTGATTGCAGATTTTTTCCTACAGTGATGGGCAGCTAACTGAGGTAGTGCTATCCAGTACAGTCAACTCTCAATATATGTGGTAATGGGAAACAGCAATGCATGGAGAAACCTAAAACAAAATATTTATACAAGTATCTTTCTGTCATCTGCTGTGGCCTGAGCATGTGCTTGGGTTCATGAGGGAGATTTGGGAGTGGGGCTTAGGCTTGCGAAGGAGCTCTGGAAGTCAGTATTACTGATTTCCTCAAGGAAATTGAGATATCCTATAAGAACCTGGTTTGGCACTATGTGGCTGAAGTGTCTTGGGGGCAGCCTGCAGCATGTGAGATCAGCTTGGCAATAGCAGTTAAGAAGGATGGGAAGACTTTCTAATAAGGAACCATTGAAGAATAGATGTTCAAATCCTGCACATTGCAGTGATATTCATTGGTATGTTTTTTTGTTAATGTGCTCTGCAGCAAACAATAATAGTATTAACAGTGAGTAGACTTGCATTAGTTTAGATCATATTTGTTTGCTAGGTAAACATGTATTTTACTTGCCACAGGTGAGTGTTATTCTTGAGGCCTTTTCTGAATAAGTGTAAGCTTATTATCTTATAATTTATAACTTTAGAAACCCAGGATAAATTTGAATTATTATTTTTTTTACTATTAGAATTCTTACTAAATATCACTATTGAACCTATACTTCTAAAAATTTAACTTAATATGCTTTAGTATTATAATGTCAAAAATATCATGAAGGAAAAGGTAATAGAGACTGTGTTATTTGATTTAGGAAAACAGTAGCCATATTTTTTATTTAAAAAATAAATATTTAAAAAATATAAGAACTTCACTAAATTTTTTTTAAAAAAATATTTTTAGTTGTTTATGAACCTTTATTTTATTTATTTATATGCAGTGCTGAGAATTAAACCTAGTGCCTCACACATGCTAGGCAAGTGCTCTACCACTGAGCCACAACCCCAGCCCCACTAAATATTTTTTAAGACTGATATTTGACTGTGAGTTGATGAATATTGAAGCTGCAATAAGTATGGGGTGGTGATGTCCATTGTATTATTTTAATTTGAATACGCTTATATTTTCTATAAGGAAAAAGCTTTTATAAAATTGAGATAGGTGATTGCTGAAAACCTCAGAATTTTCTGGGCTAAATTCTCTACTTATTTATGGAATAGATTTAGTGCTCTCAAAGTTTTTATTCAAAGTCCAAATAAAACCACATACATTTTCTAAAGGCATATTTGATTCTATCCATAAGAACTACTATAGTTCAGACTGGTGTGGTAGTGAATGGTAAGAACAACATTAATAGGGCTGAGAATCTAGCAGAGTAGTAGAGTGCTTGCCTAGCATGTGCTAGGCCCTGTGTTCAAGACCTAGGACTGTAACAAACAACCAAACCAAACCAGCCAAATTAATACTTTTTGGTTTTCTTAGCCAGATATTTATATGTTACCTTTATTATTATGGACATTTAAAAAAAGTTGACTCCAAATATTTATTCTTAGGCAATCATTAGAGGATTTGATTTTCATGTGTATGTGGTATTGGGTATTGAACCCAGGGCCTTGGAAGCATTAATGTTGAGTCAGCTCTCGTGGAAAGTTTGAAAACAATTGCTATTGGAGAGTTAATAATGGAAGGAACAAGCAAATGAATCATTTCTTTCTACAGTTTTGAATATTAACTAGAGCAGTTTTGCCATTAAGGGGACATTTGACAATGTCAAACATTTTTGATTTTTATATCTGGAGGTGGAAGGCATGCTTACAGGTGTCTGCCTGGATGGTTTACATCCTACATTGTTCAGGAAAGCCTTCCCACAGCAAAGAATAATTGGTTATAGAATGTCAATTGAAGTTTAATTTGCTGTAAGATTTAAATTCTATTGTAGTTTGTCAGGTTTGCATTCTTATGTTTTCATATCTGAATAAGTTAAGTGTGTTTCTAAAAACTAGGGAGAGCAAAATCAATATCTACAAGAGTATTAACTTCTCTGATGAATTTTCTCTTATTGATCTGACAAGACCAATTACATAAAAAAGTGTTATACATTGTTTTTATCTTGAAGAACATTTGCTAGGAAGCAATGAAATTATTTTCCTAGCCCATATTTTAATCATTCAGGATGACTTATTAAACTTTATTTATCTTCAATCTTTATTCAATCTCTGAAGTTTAAAAATTAAGTCAATATTAATGTCACTAATGCAAGTTTTTCTGTACTGTGCTAGTTCCCTCAAGTAGATGACAAGGAAAGCAATTCTTGTAGTTTACCTATTTATTTTTATGTGGTGCTGAGAATCAAACCCAGGGTCTTGCACAGAAAGAGTTCAGAGACTTATTGCTTCTGGAACAGTCTGTTTCTTGTAAGATCTCTTGGTTGTAGAGAAATGGAAGTCTTTCAATGTGTTTCAAGCTTCATACCTGAGACAGTTTAGAAGGATAAATGATTAGTATGCACTTTTCTTTAAGTGATATTTAATAATGTCAGAATGCTTATCATTGTTTTCATTGTTACTTCTTGAAGTAGGACTCGGGAGAACTTTGGGGGAAAAAAAGTGACCATTAATTGCTGCTTGAGCCAGAAATGGTGGTAAAGAGATGTGACTAGTTTTAGTCAAGTCTTTTGCAGACTCTAATTGCAACCTGCAGGAGAAAAATGCATTTTATGTGGTATTCAGTGCATATTTCGCATATGTATTTATTTATATAACAAACATGTTTAAAGAAACGGTACTTAACCTTACTGTGTGTACTTGCAGTGTTATGTTTCTGTTGCATTTCATTTAAAGTAATTGCTGCTTATGTACCACTAACTTGCAACTAGCAGTTAAAAAAGTGATGCTTTAATAAATTAATTATCTGAGAAATTTACCTTTTGTTAGCAAATAGAATACTGTAAAGTAAAATACATTGTCATTTGTACTAAATGTTGTTCTGTAATTTAATAAGTACAGATAAATTAATGAAATGTTTGGTAAGCCTTATGTCATGATAAAATATAGGCAAACTTAAGTTTTACTATTAAATTGACTTTTTAGCATGTATTTATATTTTAGCTCTCTCTCTTTTTAAATGAAAATATATTTAAGCATTAATACAAATTTTGCTAATAAGTTATTTAAAAACATAACTGATAAATCATTTGGGCTCTCATCATTTTATAAGACTAAATCTTAATGGAGAGTGAAACATGGCATGCTCTAATTCAGGGTTGGCAAACTTTTTCTGTAACGAGGCCAGCTAGTAACATATTTTGAGATTTTTGTTTGCCATAAGTTCTTTGTTGTGATTACTTATCTTCTATTGTAGTGTAGAAGTAGCCACAGGAAAGTCAGCAAGTAGGCAGTGTGTCTGTATTCTAATAAAATTACAGAAACTGGGGCTGGGGCTGGGGCTCAGCAGTAGTGCACTTGTCTGGCATGTGGGAGGCACTGGGTTTGATTCTCTCCACCTCATATAAATAAATGAAGGTCTATCAGCAAATGAAAAAAAATTTAAAAAACATTACAGAAACTGTAATTTGAATTTCGTATAATTTTCACATCAGGACATTTTCTTCTTCTTTTTTAAAGTCATTAAAATATGTAAACACTACTCTTAGCTTGTGGGCTATAAAATTAGGTGGTAAGCCAGATTTGGCCTGTGGAGTGTGGTTTGCTAACCTTTGCAGTAGCCTAAAATTGAGAAAAATCCATAAAGGAGAAAATTTAACAAGTGAATAAAAACAGCAGTGTTAAATCTTTGGGTATTTGTATTTTGGTTTTTGATATCAGAGCATACATTTTTGTGTTGTCTATTTTTTTAATATTATATCTTGCAGACAGTTGATATTCATAAAGAGAAAGTTGCAAGAAGAGAAATTGGCATTTTGACTACCAATAAAAACACTTCAAGGACACATAAGATTATTGCTCCAGCCAATCTTGAGCGACCAGTTCGTTATATTAGAAAACCTATTGATTATACAATTCTGGATGACATTGGGCATGGGGTAAAGGTAAGTATAGTTTTTTTGTCAACCAACTCTTTAGGAAATTAAACATTTATCTTTCCTTTAGAGAGGACCAACTCTTGACCCAGTTGTGGTCGTAAGGATTCCTTACTACTATAACTATTTTATCCTTCTTGCTTTTTCTCTTAGTGCTATATTCTCCAGTTTTGAATGGTCATCTTTGAATAAATTGAATTTGCTTAATCAATTATGGTAATATTTCATTCAGATGGATCAATGTGGTATAATCTTTATTAATCTTTTAATGATTTAATATTACTGATTAAAAATAATTAAAGATGCTATTAAAGTATTTAGTTTATCCCAAAAATTTATCAGCAGACTTTTGGCATTAGTTTTTGGAAACAACCCATTAATGACATGTGCTTTGTTTTTTTCCCTAGTATAATTTTATCTCAGTGTTTTGGGTGAGAATAGTGTAGATAAAATAATACGTGAATTAATTTTTCCACTGCTTTTGAGTATGTAGCCATTGCATATTTTGCCTATCTTTCAAGATGTATTAGAGTACCTTGGATGTATATCAAGTGCCATGGTCAAAACTGAGGAGGACTGGGAATGTAGCTCAGTGGTAGAACATGCACTTTGCCTGTGTAAGGCCCTGGATTTGATCCCCAGTACTGCAAAATCTCTCTCTCTCTCTCTCTCTCTCTCTCTCTCACACACACACACACACACACACACGAAAGAAAGAAAACCAAAAAACACCAGCAACAATAGAATAGCATGTGGATTTCTTTTAAATTGGTATTTGTACTTAAAACATTTAGAGCCTCAGCTAAGTATTAAAATTTTTATTTAACAGGGATTTAAAAGATAATGAATTGGGCTAGGGTTGTGGCTTAGTGGTAGAGCGCTCGCCTAGCACATGTGAAGCACTGGGTTCAATCCTCAGCACTACATTAAAAATAAAAATAAAGGTATTATGTCCACCTACAACTAAAAAATAAACATTAAAAAAAGACAATCACTTATCAAATATGACTTTGAGTATATATGGATATATGCCTATAGTGAAACTCTATAGTTCATGCAGTTGGTAATATAAACATATATATATATATATATATATATATTTTAATATATAGTTTTTAGTTGTAGTTGTCAATACCTTTATTTTATTTTATTTTTATGTGGTGCTGAGAATCAAACCCCAGGGTCTTGCACGTGCTAGGCGAGTGCTCTACCGCTGAGCCACAACCCCAACCCCAAATATATATAAACATATTTTAAAAAATACATCTATACTTTTATGGACATAAGTCAGTTAAATATAAATTTTATGTAAATTTAGGTACAAATTTAGTTTTAAAATATTTTCCTTCAGAGTTTTGAAAATATTATTATCTGGAATTTGATATTTATTTTTATAATTGATATCTATATGCATCTTAATTCCTAATTAGAACATTTTGAAATAGGATATGCAATTGAATGGTTAATTAATAACTGAAATTTATTCTAACTTGGGAAAACTTATTCAATGCTAACAACTTCTAATAGACTGTTTTAGGATACTGCCAGAATCTAATGCCAAAAGACACTTGGAATGCAACAAATTTACATTTGTGCTTGTCTATTTATATAATTAAAAGGTGATTTCCTTCCAGTGATTTTTGTTTACTCTTCAAAGTAAAATGTTATTTTTTTAGGACTTTGTAGTCCCTTCATTGTATTTTAGTGTTCAAGGATCACTAATTTGAATAAATCTTTAATGAAATTAAGTTTTTGATGAAAATAATGTTTTAAATAATTTCATCAAAGAAACTCTTGTTCATGACACATTCTGCTTTAACCACTCTTTCTATGATCTACTGAAACATTATTTTGTTAATGCTGAATGCTTAACTTGTTTTTCTGTTTTTTTCCTTTCTCTTCACATCCTGAAGTTCCAACTAACCTTTCAATGCTTTTTTTCCTTACCTCTTTTATTTGCTCCATTTATGCATTAAGTGGTTGCTTAGATTTAAGGTAAGAGATTCCAGGGCTGGATTTCCATTCTTTGTTCTTATGTAGAATATTACATATGGGGAGTAAAAAGATATTTGGTGCCTGGCCTTTTAAAACCAAAAAAAAAAAAAAACCTGTTTATTTTATTTTTGTCATGCAGCTTTGTATATGTCTTCATGTTACTTGAGGTTAGATATTTTGTCTGTTTCCTTCACTGCTTTATACTTTGTGTCTAGAATAGTGCCTGACAGACATCAGGTGCTTAGTAAGTATCTGTTGAATGAATGGTTATTTTGTAACATTATTATATTTTGTGAAACTGAAATGTAAGCTACTCTATCATAAAATGTTGTTAGGAAATAAAATTAGCTGGATTTTTTAAGTGTAAAAATTTGTTATGGATTGGAGGGCCAACATATGTGTTGTATTTAAACCTCCCCCTGTGTAATAGCCTTTTTATTCTATAAATGGTGTGCTTTACTATATACCTTTTGGACAATCTGTTATTTTCTGATTATTAATTAATATAAAGAAACTGAGAAGTACAAAATATTCAGTGTTATGTGTTTAAGTTGCAGTATCATGTATCTTACAAAAAATGTCTTTTTTCAAATAACTGTATAAAATATGTATTTTGATATAAGTTCAGTTTAAGAGTTTTTTAAGGTGAATATTGATTGTATATAAAACAGCAAAACTCATGGTAATATTTAACAAATTACAAATTAAAAATTTGAGATAGGGACTGGGCATATTATTGAGTGATAGAGGACTTGGCTAGCGTGTGTGAAGTCCTGGGTTTGATTCCCAGCAAGAGGGGGAAAAAAGTAATTTAATTAGAGATATATTCCTGTTGTGATTTGTTTCAATAACATTTTATTATTTTGTAGGATTAATGTTAAAATAATTCAACTATATTCAGGAATCTGTCAAATAAAATGTTTAAAAATTTTTTTGTAGTTGCAGATGGACAGCATGTCTTTATTTTGTTTGTTTATTTTTATGTGGTGCTAAGTATTTAACTTAGTGCCTCACACATGCTAGGCAAGTGCTCTGTCACTGAGCTGTAGCCTGAGCCCCCAAATAAAATGTTAATAAAATGATTTTCACTGGGCTGGGGTTATGGCTCAGCAGTAGCGCACTTGCCTGGAATGTGTGAGGCACTGGGTTTGAGTCTCAGCTCCACATATAAATTAATTAATTAAATAAATAAAGGTCAATCAACAAATATTAAAAAATGATTTTCACCACAATGTTTCTCTTAGTTATTTTTAAATTTTTTAATAGTTTTATTTTGTTTATTTTTATGTGGTGCTGAGGATCGAACCCAGGGCTTTGAACATGCTCGGCAAGCACTGTACCACTGAGCCACAACCCCAGCCCCCTCTTATTTATTAAACCAAACTTTATAATATCTTTTCAAGTATTTTTTCTGACATCCTGTTGTTTCCATGTCTTCAGCATAGTCAGTGGTAACCATTAGACAAGATGATTGAGTCCTGAGTCATTAACTAGTGTTAACTATGGTCACAGAAATTTCACCTGGTTATGGTAGATAAGGCTGACTAGAGGAGCCCAGGCAGATGTATACCTTGTGTTATTGATGGGCGTTGACTTTGAACCCTCAGGTTAGGTGAATTAGGTATGTGGAATTGTGGGGAGATTCTGATTTCCTTATAAATGTGAAGACCCAAAAGCAGGGTATGTGACTGTCTTCATCCTTTTCCTCTAAAGGCTGGCTTTAAATTTTGGTTATTAATGTGTTAACTTCCAAAGTGATAGAGATACACAGAAGTATTAACTGAAGAAAACACAGAAATAGATCCTTTACCTGTAAGATTTAGATCAGTTGTCTAACTTGCTATGCCATGCTTGTTTCCCACTGTGATTCCTTCTTAAACTTCCTGAGTTCAGGGTCTGTTCCCATGTAGGAGACAGGTCCAACTGAGAGGCTCCTAGAAAGGTCTAACAAGGAATTATACTTAGATGACATCCCTTAACATCACATTTAGATAGTAACATCTTTTGCTCTTTGCACCAAAAAGCTCTACTCTAGGAATCCAAAGAATTATGCACTGAATGGGAATATAGTGGAGAATAATGCTGGACAGAGAATGAAGGTTCAGAGGTACTTGACAAGTTTTATCCCATCCTCTATTCCATATACAGACATAACCTACACATATTCCTCTTTGTATTTAAAAAAAGTTTTTTTTGGGAACTAGGGGTTGAACCCAGGGCTTTGCAAATGCAAGGCAGATGCTTTGCCACTGAGTTACGTCCCAGCCCGAAAAATTTTGTATTTTTTAGTTTTTTTAAGGTGGACGCAATATCTTTAATTTACATTTATGTGGTGCTAAGGATCGAACCCAGTGCCTCGTGCATGCTAGATGAGTACTCTACCACTGAGCCACAACCCCAGCCCCTTCTCTTTGTATTTTTAAATCAGATTTTTTCTTTGTGGTGATGAGATTGAACCCAAGGCCTTGGCATGCTAAGTGCACTTTTATTTTTTTAAGTGGTGCATTAAAATTATACATAATAGTGGGATCATAATGCCATGTTCATATATGCACCTAATTGATTATTGTTATTCCTCAGTACCTTCCCTTACCCTTTCCTCCTTCCTTCCTGGATCTGCTTGCCCTACTTAACTGATCTCCCTTCTCTTGTTACTGTTATTTTAATTAGTGCATTTTCTCACATATATATGTGAAATTCATTGCAGTATAGAGTATATGTACACGATTTGGCAGATTTGTTCCCTAGTACTTCCCCATGCACTTCCCTCCTCCCCCTCTCTCAATCCCCTTGCTCTCCTCTATTCCTTTTCTTTTTTAATTTAATAGTGTAGCTCAGTTATTTCTCTCTGAAACTTTCTAACAATTTCTTCGCATATTGGTATTTCTTTTTTGTTTGATTTCTATAGAATTTGTAAACATTTCTTTTTGTTTTAAATATATTAGTAATATTTATTACTTTTATAGACCATTGTATTCCCCAGACTCTCTCCTTTATCTATAGGCCTGTATTCTTATACATAATAGTCTGGTAGGTGATTGATAAAATGAGGGATATATCACATATTATTTTAGAATACATCTACTTCTGACCTATTGCAGTAGATCATCTGTCAATAGGAGGTGATGACTTCTGTGAAGTAGAGATAATTGGCTGACCAGCTTTAGAAATAATGCTTTAGAAGTAATCCTGAAGTTCAGAGAATGCTAGAAAACCCTGCCATTTTAAATCAAAATTATATGGCCATACATTACTTAATAATAGGGATATATATATGCCATTAGGTAATTTTGTCATTGAGTGAACATCATGGAGTATACTTACACCAACTGAGGGCAGTCAGTTATTGAGTGAAACATTGTTATGTATTACATAACCATGATATATCAACATTCAGGAGGTATTGAATGCACCAGAAGAATATAGCAGGAAAGCTGGGAGTACTGTAGAAATATTAAGGTATAATAATTGACCTGATGTGTAGAGATCTCCAAACCTTATGAGACCCGATTTTTGGTAATAGAGGAACTCATACCTTCAATATCATTTGCATTCCTTTATCATAAGCCTAGAGGAAGGTATTGAGGAATGGCCAAGCATTAATCTTCATGACCTAAATGAAATATTTCTTCAGTTTTGAAGGTGTCTCTCCAGTAAGGGGGGCGGGGAAGAAGAAGAAGCTTTTCCTGCTGTTCCTCCTTGTGCCTAATACTTTCTTCACTTATGTCACAGGGATTTTTTGCTTTTTGGAATAAATAATACAATATTTGGAATACATAATACAATTATTGTTGTCAGCCAGTATAAAGATTCATTCCAATTCACAAATAAAACTTTGAAAAGTATAACGAACACTACTGTTCCTGATTCAGGACCATTAACTAGACATTTATGTGCCAGATGATAATTTTGCTATATCCCCTCATCCTGGATGCCCTTCTGGGGTCTTGCTATATTGTCCAGGCTAGACTCAAACTCCTTGGCTCAGGTGATTCTCCCACCTCAGCCTCCCAAGTAGATGGGTTTACAGGTTTGCATCACCATACTTGGCCTTTTAAAAAATATTTTAAAAAAATATTTCAAGACTAATTACCATTATGAAGCAGCTCTAGTCTTGCTTTGTCTTTGTTCAGAGTTGTTGGTGTAAGCATATGTACATACACATACAAATGTTGGAGTTCACCTCTATCAACACATAATGTAGTCAAGTGTTTTGCTTAATTATAACACATGTTCTCCTTTTACACAGAAATTGTTTTGTTTGGCATTTATCTATCTATCTATCATTTATTTATTTATGGTACAGGGGATTGAACTCAAGGGTACTTAAACACTGAGCCACATTCCCAGCCCTTTTTTTTGTATTTTATTTAGAGACAGGGTCTCGCTGGGTTGCTTAGGGCCTTGCTAAGTTGCTGAGGCTGTCCTTGAACTTGCGATCCTCCTGCCTCAGCCTCCCAAGCCACTGGGATTACTGGTATGTGTCACTGTGCCCGGCTTCTTTTGGCATTTATTTTTGTTCTATTTCTTTAATGTAGGTGGCAGTGTTTATATTCCGTGTGGTGTAATTATTGTTTAAATTAGCACAGAAATATTTTTCACAAAGAAAATGATTTTTGGAAAATATTGCAAACTCTTTCAGCTTGTTTGAAAAATAATACAGTATCAATGAAGTATAAAATTAGACTAGATTTTACTCAGCATCTTTTTGGTTCCTTAAGTGATTTAAGTTACTCATCTAACCCATTAATCAATCAAGTACAATCATTTGAGGATTCTATGGATTATAAAATATATTGAGTTTTGTTTGTTTAGATGTCCACCAGACTTTAATTTATGGATTGTTAATTTGCATCTATTTTTGGAGCAGGTTCTAAAGATACTGCAATTTTAAACAAAAACACTCATATACCAAATCCTAAAACAAATCAAATAGGAAAGTTATTTTCAAGTATTTTTGCTATCCCATGTATAGAATAAAATTCTTTTTTTTTTTTTTTTTACTCCTTTTCTATTCTTGCTCCTTTTCCTTCCTGTTTCTAGCAAATTGATTTATAGTTTAGTGCTTGGTTCACTTCTCCCTCATCACTTATAACTTTGGGTTTTATGTTGTTTAAGGTTGAGCTTAAAGGACTTTGGTTACTACTCTTTAAAATCTTGTGGTATCATTGAATGAAGATCTACAGTTTTAAAAGCTATATTGGTTATTTGTGAGATTATTCCTAAAATTTTCCTCAAATGTAGATTGATTAAAAAAAAAACCTTTTAGCATTTTCATTGTAAGATATAATTAGTATGCCCTCTGCTTTTTAATGAGGGGGAGAGAAAGGATAAGTTAATTTTTATTCTTACTTGATAATTGTTTTGTATTTATGGTTTAAAAGCGGCAACAAAAGGATTACAGATAAATGCTTCACTTTAATAATATTGATATTTCAAGGTATCATTTGTCATTAAAGATTGTTTTAACATCACACACAACTTGTTCACTGGGCTATTCATTTGAAGAATTTGTTTCTTGATATGTTATTTCTTGCCTACTCAGATAACAAAGTAGTATTTTAGAACTAAAAAATGTCACCCAGGCCAGAGTTGATTTTGACAGCCTTGATACATCAGTATGCAATTATGATTTGTTTTTTTAAAATTTACATTTTAAAATTGAAATTATAAATGTATTCTGACTTCATTGATATAATATCTTACAGCTTCATTTTACAAATGCAATTTGAATACTCAAAATATATTTTTATTAGAAAGTTAAAATGTTTTTTTTTTTTTTTAAGTGTGTTTTAAAGCCAGCAGTTTATAATATTAGAAGATTAAAATAGGGTCAGGTGCCCATTGTGGGCATTAACTTAACCTATTGGTAGTCTCAAACAACTTGAGATTGCATTTGAATTGAATTTGTGAATGACTTCTGTTAGTTCTTTGTAAGATATTCAGATTGCTAGAAATTTCTCTTTTTCCTTTGGTGACATTCGTTTTTCCCAGATTATCCATGTTTTCTATACTTTTATGTTCAATTGAGAATAGAATAGTAAGTAGAGTCATGGTCCAACTCTGATAAAGGACTATATCACACCTTCTTATGCCTGAATTAACCTTTAGTTTGGGCCTGAGTGGCCAAATTCCCATTGGAAGCAGGATACTACCAGTGGCCCTTTGTGCTACTCATAGTTGAATGAAATACCTCTGTCCTAACTTTCTGGTTCAGATGTTTGGGAATATGCCTTAATTTCTAGCAGTTGTCAGGTAGGTCATTTCCTCATAATAGAACATTAAAGAAATTCGAATTGTGAGGGTGATCTGCAACTTTAAAAAACTAAAGTTTTCTTTCTATATATCATACAATTTATTTTATATCCTCTAATTACAGTGGATCATATTCATAGTTGGGTATTTTTAGTTGGGAAACATTTTGTTTTATATAGTTACTGTCTAAAGGAAGCTAACTAAAAAATAAGGAATTACTTGAAGAATTTATTGTTTCTGATTGTTATTTTTTATTAAAAGTAAAAATTTAATAGTTAGCAGTTTCTTCAGTTGAATGTAACATCATATAATCTAACCAGTGATCTGTTGGTGTGATGGCCTAATGGCAAATAAATTCTTTGCATACAAGTTTATAATCATTTGAAAATCATGTTAGGAAGAGTCCTTTGAGTACAACTGTAGAATAATAGTAGATTAGAAATTGCATATGAAATGCATGGCCTCTAATTTTTTTCCTGTATTTAAACCTTCCCTTCCTTTGTTAAATAGCATAGCATTATTTCCCCCCAGTACTTTATTTCACTGCATGCAAGTTAAGTTGAGTTTTCCTCGAAATTTTTTAGGTGAGTACCCAGAATATGAAGATGGGTGGGCTGCCACGTACAACACCTCCAACTCAGAAACCCCCCAGTCCCCCTATGTCAGGGAAAGGGACACTTGGGTGAGTATATAACTAAGTATAATAGAAAATAATTTCATGCAGTGTTGTGTTAAAAATGATTTTTTAAAAAATATTTACAAAAAAAGATTTTTCCCCAGGATTATTTCTTGGGTTTGTAATTTTTCCCTTTTTCTGGGAAGCACATCTTTATACATTAAAGATATTTGGTTAGAAATTATTTTTCTAATGAATTTTAAATTGAGATTTTTTTTTTTTTTTTTTAAATAGTGCTGGGGATCAAACCCAGGGCTTCAAATGCTGGGCAAGCACTCTACCACTGAGCTATAGCCCAGCTCCTGTAAATTGCCATCTTAATCATTATACTTTTTGTTTTTCCAGAAATATTTTGCAGTCCTTTTGTATTATAGTTGTATTGGATTACCCTTCCCAAGAAGGCTGTGTAGATTATAAAATTCAATATACCTTGTTATGATACTGTTGAGTTTTGATTTAGAGCTATAGAATTGGGCTCTGGATTTAACTTTTGGCAAAATGGTCAATTAATGGAAAAGCTTGCCTTTTTTCTTCTGTCACATCATAATACAAGCTTAGTTATCATGATTGAGATTTATGATCAGGTGGGCATAAAATATAGCCCAGAAGACAGTTGGCTAAAGTTCTGGCTTGCTGCTTGCCCTGTGGTCCTTTATATTCAGTCTCTCAACAATTCAGTTTTTTCATCTGTAAAAGGGGGTAATATTTATCTTCTGTTATCTTTTCAGGGTCACTATACCACAAATTGGATTTTTAAAAATATATAATACAAAGACAAAATGCTTTGACAACCATTGGCTTTGTGATATATACTAAAAGCTTTAAATTGGCAATCTTGTTTTTGGCCCCCTCACCAAAAAAATAAATAAAAGTAAATAGCAAAAATCCCAGTGTATGTACACACACACACACACACACACACACACACACATACAAACACACATACACATACACATATACAGGAACCCTCTTCCCCTGAAACAAAATAAAACAAATAAACCCAAAACAAAACCAACCACTGTGGATCAGGATGGGACAACAATGAATTGGGATATGAAGGAGAATATTGTTGGAAACAGAATGAGAGTAGGAGAAGACAGAATAAACATGATTACCAACCAGGAGTAGAATGGTTTTATGCTTACAACAGAGAGAAAAGAGTCTAGTAGATCAAGTAACATTTAAACTTCAGGGTAGAATTAAGATGATGATGTAGGGTATTGGTGCAGTGGTAAGAGTAGAACAATATGGAGGAACTATTTATTTTTCTGGAGAATGTTTACATTTCTGTTATATAAAGCATCTAATGGATATTATTAAGTTTTAAATCAAGATTATTAGCAAGATAGCCTGTGTAATCTCTAGTAAAATAAAATTTTAGTTTGCTCTGAAAGTTTGATGATTTATTCATATATCAGTATTTATTTTCCTTGGATATTAGCAATAGTTCTGCAAGATCTTGGAGACCAGAGTTGATGAGCATCTCTCGATCAGTTGATGGTCACAGCCTAATTTTTTTTTTTCACAGTCTTTGCCTTTGTCATCATATTTTGTTCTTCTCCCCTTGTTTTTTTTTTTAAAATTATTATTTTTTTGACTTTGTTTATGTCATTTTCCTCACTGTGTTCTCAGTTAGCAAAGGGTTTTCTCCCTGGATGAAATAGAATATTTCTTTTTTTTTTTTTTTAAGTCATTTGGGAAACACTATCTAAAAATTAGATTCTTAAAAATTAATAAATTTCCTGTTTCATTTTTGTATTTACATTATAATTTCAGAGATACCTGAACTACTTTTTAGTATATGTGTATGTATGTATATATTTATTTATTTATTGGTACTGAGGCTTGAACCTACTAAACTACATTCCCAGCCCTTTTTATTTTATTTTGAGACGGGGTCTTGCTAAGTTGCTGAGACTGGTCTTGAACTGGAGATTCTCCCATCTCAACCTCTGGAGAAGCTGGGATTACAGGCATGAGTCACAATGCCTGGCTCTAAAGTATTTTAAATCTAGAGTCTTGACATTCCTTTTTCCCCTTTGAGCTACTCTCCTATCCAGCACCTTTATCTATTTTTAATTATTAATATGTGTATTTATGCAGGGAGACTTTGAGGGTATTAGAGTCACAAGGTCATTTATTACAAAATGATCTCATTCAAAATCATTGATCCATAACTTGAGTTGTCCAGGGGAGCAATACTTAGAGGAACTCTGGGAGCCTTTTGGGAAGTCAATTATTGAAAAATATATAAGTCATTTGAACAGTATCATTTCAGGAGAAGAAAGCTTTTTAATTTTTAAATATTGATGTTCCAAGGTTTGTTCTTTTAAAGACCAGAATCTCATCTATAAGATGTCATTTTCATATTTATCATTGTCATGAAGAATTCAAAAACTTCAAATAGAGAATTAATTTAATAATCACTAATGTTGCACTGTGAATTTTACTTCCTATTTTATTTTCTTAATCTTCTCATCTTCTTCTCTAAAAGGGAAAATTGTGAAAAAGAGGGAAATGTGTGTTAATAATATCAGTCTGGTTTGTGTTTTATGGTTAAAAGTAAATAATGTAGAAGGATTTAGGTGGTCTATTAAAATTTTTTTCTTGCCCTTGTAAATGTTGAATTTTGAGAAGTTGGAGAGAAACTAAGGTGAAAGTTGAGGGAGAAAGTAAGGCTGTGAGAATGGCAGATGAGATTAACAGAGAAAGGGAAGTGAATTGTTGGGACTGGTATTTATCATCAGAGTGGGGCTTGTGATTCCAAAATCTGGATTTCTTGTGTCTGTCTTTGAACATTTTTGGTTTAGGGAGAGAGGGGAGAGGAAGATAGTGCTTCATGCAGTGCAATGCGATACTTTGACATGATACTAAAATAATTCACACTTATTTCTAAGGAAAGAGTAGAGTAGGAATTATTGACTTCAGTGGTGGAAAACTCTTGGGATCTCTGAAAATAAAGGAACAGAATTGGATTAGCACAGGGAAATGAGGTTGGAAACTGAAAAATAATAGTGCATACTTACCAAAACCCTAATGTTGGAGAAGTGATACTTTAGGAAAGACTAAAATTGATAGCTGGGTTAAAACACATTTCCTATTTCTGATTGTAAATTGTACTTCACTATTGGCAGCTCTTGGAATTTATTGTGCCGAAACTTGCTTAATCACACAATACATACGCTCTTCTTTTTGTAGGCGGCACTCCCCCTATCGCACACTGGAGCCAGTGCGTCCTCCAGTGGTACCAAATGATTACGTACCTAGCCCAACCCGTAATATGGCTCCCTCGCAGCAGAGCCCTGTGAGGACAGCTTCTGTGAATCAAAGAAATCGAACTTACAGGTATTTTCTCTACCTCAGCACAAAATGTGATGGTCATAGTACCATATTCTGTTCAGATAACTTCAGTTAAATCTCTCTCATTTTCCAAGTGCTAAGTTCTAAGTTCTTTTCCTCACTCTACTCTCCCAAACCTCATCTGATTCCACCTCTCTCTCCTCATGTTCTGATGTAACTTTGAGCAGCCAGGAAGTAGAAAAGGAACAGACATTTCAAAGTGCAAACTTCTCTACAAAGATAATAGTTCAGTTGAACTGGAAAAAAAAGAAATTATGGACCAGATGCGGAAAATTTCAAGTTGTTTTTTGGTGGAACTTTACAGATGAAAAACTACACACGACAAAACACTAGTATGGGATAGTATATCAAGATATCGTTACAAATTGAAATAAGATAATTTGTTCAGAAAAATGTTTTTATTGTAAAAGAAGTTTCTTCAGATGGGCATTAAACTGGAATATAAGAAGGTAATATTTGTTATTTTGATTTGTTGAGCTCCAACATTTATGGAGAATTTTTGTCTTTTTCAGTTTCTTTAATACAGCTTATTAAAAGTTATCAAAACAAGCTAACTGAACTCAGCTCTTCCCCAACTTTATTAAGAAATTCATACTTGAAGGGGAAGGTTTTTGAATTGTCTTTCTTATAGCTATTTTCATTTCAGCAATTTTTGGGAAATGCTAATGATATATTACTGTATAAATACTCATATTTTGGTGGCTTTTATTTCTTTAGCAGCAGTGGGAGTAGTGGAGGAAGCCACCCAAGTAGTCGGAGCAGCAGCCGGGAGAACAGTGGAAGTGGGAGTGTGGGGGTTCCTATTGCTGTTCCTACTCCATCTCCTCCCAGTGTGTTTCCAGGTAAAACAGTAATCATTGCTTTTCTTTTGTGAATTTTACTTCAGTTTTTAATGTAATTATAGTAAACTTTCTTCTTAATCAGGATTTTTTCTTCTCTTAGAACTTCATGAATTTTGACAAGTCTTTATGTATTTGTTATTTTTAACCAAATTATTTGTACAATTTTTGCATTTTTCTATTATTTTTTAAAATATTTTATTTTAGTTGTAGGTGGACATAATACCTTTATTTTATTTATGTGGTGCTGAGGATTGAATCCAGGGCCCCATACAAATGAGATAAGTGCTCTACCTCTGAGCCCCAGCCCCAGCCTTGTGTACTTTTCTGTTATTTGATTTTAACCCTTTGGTGCTGTGGCTCATTTGGTACTTTGATGCTTCAGGTGCTACTTTGGTATGAGTTAATGTTTAATTCCAGCTAGTTTATGACAGTGTTTATCTTTGGACACAGGGGGGCTTGGCATGAGAGTCATACTGGTGATAAAGGATGGCAAAATAGGAAAGTAGTTTCGACTGTTAAATTTAGTGGATTATTGGAATTTAATAGTCTCTGAAATGCTATCCTTTTTTCTCTGAAATGAAAAAATGTGCTTATTTGATCTGAGGATATACAAAGTTAAAAGCATGACTCAAAAGACATCAGGATAGATTATTAAATATTTAATTTAGTTATAACGAGTACGTAAGACCTGGTTTGTTTTGTTTTTGTTTTTCATAACTCAGGTTCAAATTCAGATCCTTGCACCACATAGGCAAGCATTTCATCTCTGCGCTAAACCTCTATAGTCTTTAGATAATAAAATAAAAAAATCATGAAGGACTAGGGTTGTGGCTCAGCGGTAGAGCATTCGCCTAGCATGTGCAGGGCCCTAGGTTCCATCCTCAGCACCATATAAAAATAAATAAATAAAATAAAGGTATTGTGTTCAACTACAACTAAAAATAAATATTTTTAAAAAATCATGAAAAAGACTTGTTTAAGTTCTTTTTTTAACATAATTTTACCTTGAGTATATGAGTATATGTCTTTTTTTCTGATTTATATTATTCAAATGGAATACTGTTCTTTAGGTTTTTTTTCCTATTTATGGTATTTTATACTAAAATTAACAATGTGTGGGGAGCTCTTTTCTTCCAGATTGTGGTTTTTGAATAAAAAGGAAAGTTTGTTTTTAATGAATTAAAAATTTTGTACGTTATCCTGAGCATCTTGAATTATTTTCTGCATACCTAATAACCTTTAACAGAAGCCTCAGTCGTCTTCTTTTTTTCCATCTCCCTATTCTTTTGGTTAATGTTAAAGCACTGAATATCTAATGTTAGATACTCTAATGCCTTTTCTAATCCCGCTGAATGTGACTGCCTCATTAATGCTGCCTCTTACTCCTCTTTCCCCTCAGCCCCTGCTGGCTCCTCTGGCACTCCTCCCCTTCCTGCTACTTCTGCATCTGCTCCTGCCCCTCTTGTTCCTGCTACTGTTCCCTCCTCCATTGCCCCAGAGGCTGCTGCTGGGGGTGCCCAGACCCTTGCTGATGGCTTCACTTCTCCAACTCCCCCTGTTGTTTCTTCTAATCCCCCTACAGGTGAGTATTAGCTTATTTCTTTGCAGGTAGATCCAGTCATTTGGATATTCTCTTACTTGGATCTCCAGCTTCATGATTTTGTTATTGTTTGTTTGTACTACTTATATTAAAAAAAAAAAATACAAAGACCTATAATCCCAGTGACTCAGGGGGCTAAGGAAGGAGGATTGCAAGTTTAAGGCCAACTTCAGTAACTTAGTAAGACCCTGGCTTCAAAAAAAAAAAAAGCCTGGGGACTTAGCTCAGTGGTAAAGTGCCCTTGGGTTCAATCCCCAGTGCCTCCCTCACCATAAAAAAAAAAAAAAAAAAAAAGATGAATTCTAATAGAAAGTGTCATGTAACCAAGAATTAGAATTTCTTGAGAAAATCCTGATAAAGTGTCATATGTTTTTCTTATAGGGTAGCAAAAGTACACATTTTTAATACCTTAAATTTCATTCTGTTAAAGATTTATGAATTTAGTGTGGTGCTACCTTCTATACAGTTTTGAGAGGTTGTTGTTAGAAATATTGTTATGAGGCTAGGCACAGTAGCGTATACCTGTAATCCTAGCAACTCAGGAGGCTGAGGCAGGAGGATTATAAATTAGAGGCCAGTCTCAGCAATTTAGTGAGGCCCTAATAAGCAATTTAGTGAGACCCTGTCTCAAAAAAACAAAAAGTGCTGGGGATGTGGCTCAGTAGTAAAGTGCCCCTGGGTTCAATCTTTAGCACCAAAACAAACAAACAAATAAATAAGTGAGATAGAGAGAGGCTTGAGCCTAGGAACATGAAGTTAGGGGATACTATACTGGCTTCCACCTACATGCCTTTTAATACCATTCCAGCCCTTAAACAATAGGATTATGTTACATTCCTCCTCAAACAACCTGTAAACTCTCAGTGCCTGACTAATCTCTCAGGCTTGAGGAATTTAAGACTCCTCCTCCCTGCAACTAAGAACTTAAGATACTCTGAAGGAGGAGGGTGGGTACTTTTCTAACCTTTATGTAGACCAGAGATTCCAGGACTCAGGAAAATGGGAGAATTAAAAACAAAGGGGGCATGTCATCATCACTTTCCTCTCTGAGAGGACTCCACTCTCTCCCTTGAGAAGGCCTTTTTGCCCCCTTCTCTTTTCCCTTCTACTAAACTTTGTTACACTAAGTTTCACATCTTGCCTGAAATTTTCTCAAACAAGAGCACAAGAAATGAGAATACCATGCAGTTACAAGTGGCGCAGTTAACAAGAAGTCTGTGACAATAATTCCAGATGTCTTTCATTGGAAATATTTTATGTAACAAATTGAAAACCTCTGTATGTCTTTTATACCAATCTGTTGCTTGTTTTAGCAGCCATGGGAATTCATAGGGCAATGGACTTTTAAAAGGTGTCAGGTTTAAGTTGACTGATATTTTAGTGTTTTCATAATGCAACCTAAAATCTGTTTTGATGGGGCACCACGTAAAATCCCAATAGCTACAAAATACATTTGAGCAGTTAATGTAATGCTGGTTAGTAAACAGGTCTTATCTCTTATAAAATGCGTGTTTGGACATATCATCATAGTATTTTGCTTGCCAATGAAGTAATTTCAGAGAATAACTATTCAGTTATGCCTCCATAACCAGATATTTACATGTTTTAAAAAAGATACTTTTAGCTAAATTTGATTTTGGATGGTCGTCTTTTGGGATAGTTTCCATAATAGCACTTATAACGGAAAGCTTTCTATAGTGGTTAAGTGTAAACACAGGCTTTTTTGTTGTTGTTCTACATACAACTTGGTTAGACCAGATTGCTTATTAAGCATAGGAATCTTCTTGTGCCCCTGTATAAGTAAAGAATGCATTTTGAAACTGGTTGCAGACTTGGAAAGGATAGAACACCCCATGCGTCAACATTTTAGTAATGAAATGATAATTTAGAAGCAAGTACCTGGCTCATAGGGTTCAATAAATAAACTTTTGTTATGTGGTTGAATAAATTAACTATGTTTTTTAAAGAACAAAAAGCAATATAAATATCTTAATAATTTACATCAACATAGTCTTTTTTTACAATATCTTTGAGTCATCAAGTACTTTTTTCTTTTTATTAATGTATAACTTATATAAAGTAAAATTTGCCTATTATATTGTATATGTCTGAGTTTTGGCAAACACATACAGTGTGTAACTACCACCATAACCAAGATCCCATAATCTATCATCCCAAAACTGTCAGTCCTTTCCCTAGCTTTTGGTAACCCCATATCTGTTCTTTTATCCCTAAAGTTTTAACTTTAGGTATCCTTTTCAGTCTGGTGTTTTAGCCAGACACATTTGGAAGATTTGTTCAATTGTTGCATGTTTAGGTATTTGTTCCTTTTTATTACTGAGTAGTGTTCTTTTGTATGACTATACTGCAGTTTGTCCCTTTCCTGGTTGAAGGACATTTGGATTATTTTCCATTTTCAGTGTTTATAAGTAAACATAGGTTTTATTTCATTTAAGTAAATAGGTAGTAGGATTGCTAAGTTGCATTGTGAGTTAATGTTCAACTTAAGAACCTGCCAAATTGTTTTCCAAAGTGACTATAAAATTTGGTGTCCTAGTAGTAGTGATGTGATTTTCAGTTGCATCCTTTCAGCACTTGGTATTGTCATTTAAACATTTTTTTTTTAAGCTCTTTGAATAAGTGTGCAGTGATTTTCCATGTGGTTTTGATTCCCCTTTCCCTAATGAATAATGATCTTGAGCATCTTTTCACGTGCTTGTTCGTCCTCTATATCTTCTTTAGTAAAGTGTCAATTCAAATGTTTTGTTCCTCTCCCCACCTTTTTAATGTCCCCCCCCCTTTTGGGTAGAGTTCTTTTATATTTTGAATCCTTTATCAATTATGTGAGTTGCAAATATTTTCTTCCATTTGGTGATTTGTTATTTCATATTCTTTTTTTTTTAAGTAGTTGATGGACCTTTATTTATTTGTATGTGGTGCTGAAAATTGAACCCAGTGCCTCACTCATGCTAGGCAAGCACTCTGTCACTGAGCCACAACCCCAGCCCTATTTCATATTCTTAATGGTATCTTTCAAATAAGAAGAGGTCTTCATTTTTATTAAATCTGGTCTGTCATTATTTCTCTTCTATGGATTTGTGCTTTTATGAAAACTTTTTACCTTTTTACCTAAGGTCATAAAGATGTTGTTTTTGGCAGACATGGTGGCACATGCCTGTAATCCCAGTGATTTGGGAGGCTAAGGGCAGGAAAATTGCAAGTTGGAGGCCAGCCTGGGCAACTTAGCAAGATCCCATCTCAAATAAAAAAACAAAAAGGGATGGAGGTATAGTTCAGTGGTAGAGTGCCCAATGGGTTCAATGCCCAATATCTATTTTTCTCTCTCTCTGTCTCACACACACACACACACACAGACACACACACACACACAGAGATTTTGTGTTCTAGGAAGTTTTTAATTTGAGGTTTTATAGGTCTTCTAATAATTAGCTATAGTTTTTTTTTTTTTTTAATTTTTGTCTTAACCCCAAACAAGGTAAATCTCCCATTAATAGTATGGACAGTGTCACTGCAGGTTTACAACATGAACTTTTAGACTGAATCTAACTATACAATTCATAATGATGTTATTCATCATCCTAGGTTTGTATTATTTTGGTATTATTACTAAAATGCTACAAATGTTTTTGTGTGTAGTGGTTCAAATGACTAAGTGTGCCTTTGAAATAATAGTTTCTTAGTTTGCATATTTACCTTTTATTTTAGTTAAAAATTTCTCAATTCATATTGGATTATGTTTAAGCTTGAGTGCTTAATTTTATACAACAGAATTGAGTTGTAGATTTTTTTGTTGTTGTTGTAGATGGACACAATATCTTTATTTATTTATTTTTTATGTGGTGCTGACAATTGAACCCAGTTCCTCATGCATGCAAAGCAAGTGCTCTACCACTGAGCCGTAACCCCAGCTCCAAGTTGTAGGTTTTAATGTATATCTAAGAAGAGTAAATGCTATAGTAAATCTTGAGTGCTTATATGTGACTCCATTTGAATCCAGGTTTTATAAGTTTATGGAACTCCTGAAGAGCAGTTTTAGTTATATAAACTATTTTACTTTGCATGGCTCTCTGTCCTCTCCTCTTCTTTTACTTCTCTTCCCACATCCTCTTTCTCACTCACTTGCCCTGTTGCCTGCTAGAGTGTTCTCTCATGAGAGCTTTAGTGGTGCCTGTAATAGAAGATCCTCAGCTGACTGACAGCTAAGTGGGGGGGGGGGGGGGGGGAAAGTCAAGGGAAAATTTAGGAACTGAATTGTATTAGGAAATTGGATGGATTAGGGAAGGGAGTCTTCAGCTGGCATCAGCAATTGAACTTTCTAGATAGCAAAATATAGTGAAATTAATGGTAAACAGGTTCAGAGTAATGTTACAAATAAGATATTTTGACTCACTTTTTGTATCTTAGCTTTTTACATAGTTGTAGATTTCATTAACTCTAATTTTAAAATAAAATAGATATTTAGAGATGGATATTTTTGATTGAATAAAGATGTGTTTGGTTTGGAATTATGTCATCAGACTTTTTGCTGAAATACTGTTTTCCTTGAAACAAATTTCTTTTCTACCTTAGTTTTATTATTATTTTCATCATTTATTATTTTGGAAAAACTGTATGAAACATTTTTTCTTTTGCTTTCCCAATGTCATTCTTAATCTTGTTGAGTTTGATTTCCAGTCCTTAGTGACTGCTGTGTTTTTGGAGGAAGAGGGCTGTCTTAGTCCATTTTTTTTTTTCCCTGCTTTAACTGAGTAACACAGACTGGGTAATTTATAAACAATAGAGGTTATTTGGTTCATAGTTCTGGGGCTAAGAGGGCCTATATCTAGGGGCTATGTATGCTGAGGGCCTTCTTGCTGTGTCATAATGTGGTGGAAGTTAACAAATACATGATCAGAATGTGAGTGTATGAGAGAAAAGGAGAGAGCGAATAGGGCCAAACTCCTTCTTTTATCAGGAACCTACCTACTCCCCTGATAACAAACCCACTCCCACTGTAGCTAACCCATTCCTATGATAAATACATTATCCACTCATGAGGGCAAAGCCCTCGTGACTGTGTCTTAGAGATTCCAACTTTTAATACTCTTGCTTTGGAGATAAGTTTTGGTGGACACATTCAACAATAGAAGAGGCTGCAAAATTTAGTTGATTGTGAAAACCCCATCAGATAATTAATTTAATAAAATCCAAATGTTAATTGGTAATTTACTTACATGTAGCTTTTCAAAATTATGTTTTCATTTACTTTTTTTTTGCATTTTGATACAATGACAGCTGAGCAATAATTGCCATCTGTCGATTTTCAGATAGCAATTAGCTAAATATTATTGTTTTAATAATCTTATTAAGATTTAGGCAATATACATAAAGTATTTCATTATCTGAGATTTTCTTTTAATGATAGATTTATGTTCTATCCCTTTTCCAGGTCATCCTGTTCAGTTCTACAGCATGAATAGACCTGCTTCTCGCCATACACCCCCAACAATAGGGGGCTCCTTGCCCTATAGACGCCCTCCTTCCATAACGTCACAAACAAGCCTTCAGAATCAGCTGAATGGAGGACCTTTTTATAGCCAGAATCCAGGTCAGTTTTTTTTTTTTTAATTTTATAGAATATATCTAACTAGAACCTTCAATTAAAAACCCTTTAATTACAAATAATTAGCACATGGTGGGTGGTTAGAACTATTTGTTGAATGAATGAATACTAAGTTGCTAATAACACTGTATTTCTTATTTATCTCTCTCTCTCTCTCTCTTTTAAGAAATCACATTATTTTCCTGTAAAATTATAGAACTTGTTTTTTTCTGAACAGAATTCTTTTGATTATGATAGTGGTTATTTGCTTTAAAAATTATTGTAGGGCTAGAGGTATAACTCAGAGTCTCAGAGTGCTTGCCTAGCGTGTGTGAGCCCAATGCTGGATAAAAAAAAAAAAAAAAAGTATGGTGAACATTATTTCCTTTTTGTTTAATGAGACAACCTTACACTATGAATTACAAATAATGAAAAGTTGAGTGACCATGAAGCTGTTTTGTGCTAGGTTATTATACTATTTTATTCAATTCTCATAACAGACTTTTGATGGGAAAACTGGGACTTGGAGAAATTGACCCAAAACAATTATAGTATACAATTGCATCATACATACAGGAAAAAACTGATTTAGCACACATTTTTATGCTATACATACTCATTCTTTTGTTTATTCCCTGGAGGGGACATGAGCAAATTAGACATGGTATGTCCACTTGTTATGTTTTTCTGGACTTTTGCTCACAAGCTATTAAGCCTGTACATAAACACCTTAGATATTAGGGGATGATTCATTCTGTCTTTGAAAAGTCTTGGCTTTCATGGAGCTGGCATTTGTCCACTGTGGCTACTGCCTATTAGTGAAAACCTTAGTTACAAAGAATCATGCACAAGAAAGAAATTTGATCCTCTTTGTACATAAACATTTACAATTTAAAGAATGCTTTTGTATCTGTATCTCACTTGATATTATCATATACAAAATAAAATCGGTGATCATTTTCGTATGTATTTTGCATATGAAATCAAGGCCAAGGTGGGATTTGAAGTTAGGTTTTTTTGACTATGAGTTTCATGTTCTATTTTCCTATCCTACTTACCTTCAGATTTAAATTTTTTTCTCTTTCCTTCCCAGGTCTTCTCTTTTTTTTTGGTGGGGGAAAAAGGAAGGAAGGATATTACCATTGTATTATAAATACTTGGGATCCTGAGATATTGTCAATCTTTATGTTATATTCTGAGAATATTGCTTAGTAACTAAATATTGAACGAATTACTTGTCCCTTTATCCAAATTTCTTTACTCTTCTGGGTTTCTCTTGTAAATTAAATGCTGTATTTGTAGTCTAGCTAGTGTAGACCACAGTGTGAATACCAACCTGCTTTAGTTGAAATGTACTTCTCTTATTGCTGTCTTTGATCACACTTGGTATTTTAGGTTATACCATTTTTAGAAATCCATTTTCACTTTGTTGACAAAATTGCCTGCCGTTAGTCACACATCCTACTTGTAAACCACGTTTTCTAAAAACCACATTTCTTCAAGTGCTATTTTGTACCTGAGTGCATTTGTTTGGGTTTTTTGTTATTGCTATTTGTTTGCTTGCTTATTTTTGTTTTTGAAATGGTGTCCCACTGTATTTCTCAGGTTGGTCTCAAATTCATGGGCTCAATGGATCCTCCTGCCTCAGCTTCCAGATTATCTGGAACTAAGGTGTACATTACCATGTCTGTCTCTTTAAATATATTCTTTTTATTCTTAAAATTTTTATTTTATTATATATAGCCCATTTTTTAAAAATCTTTTATTGATTTTATTTTTTTAAATACATGACAGCAGTGGAAGCCATTACAATTCTTACTACACATATACAACAATTTTTCATATCTGTATATAAAGTATGTTCACGCCAATTTATGCCTTTATACATGTACTTTTTTTGCATTACAATTCTTAATACACACATATACCACAATTTTTTGTATCTCTGTATATAAAGTATGTTGATACCCAGTTGAAGTCTTCATGCATGTACTTTGTATAATGATGTCCATCACATTCCACCATCCTTGCTAATCCCCTGCTACCTCCCTTCCCAACCTCTCTAGAATTCATCTATTCCTCCCATGCTCTCCCTCCCTATCCCACTATGAGTCAACCTCTTTATATCAGAGAAAACATTCGGCACTTGAGGTTTTTGGATTGGCTCACTTCACTTAGCATTATCTTCTCCAACGCCATACATTTACGTGCAAATGCCATGATTTTGTTCTTTTTTAATGCTGAATAAAATTCCATTGTGATATATGCCACATTTTTTTTTATCCATTCATCCACTAAAGGGCATCTAGGTTGGCTCCACAGTTTAGCTATTGTGCATTGTGCTGTTATAAACATTGATGTGGCTGTGGCCCTGTAGTATGCTGTTTTTAAATCCTTTGGGTATAGTTCAAGGAGAGGACTAGCTGGGTCACATGGTGGTTCCATTCCCAGATTTCCAAGGAATCTCCATACTGCTTTCAAAATTGGCTGCACCAATTTGCAGTCCCACCAGCAATGTATGAGTGTACCTTTTCCCCCATATCCTCACCAACACTTATTGTTGTTTGTCTTCATAATAGCTGCCATTCTGTCTGGAGTGAGATGATATCTTAGAGTAGTTTTGATTTGATTTCTCTGATTGCTGGAGATGATGAGCATTTTTTCATATATTTGTTGATTGATTGTATATTCTCTTCTGAGGAGTGTCTGTTCAGGTCCTTGGCCCATTTGTTGATTGGGTTATTTGTTTTTTGTTTTTTGTTTTTTTTTGGTGTTTATCTTTTTAGTTATTTTTATACCCTAGGGATTAGTGCTCTATCTGATGTGTGAGGGGTAAAAATTTGCTCCCAGGATGTAGGCTCTCTGTTCACCTCACAGATTGTTTTTTTTTTTTTTGCTGAGAAGAAACTTTTTAGTTTGATTCCATCCCATTTATTGATTCTTGGTTTTAATTCTTGTGCTATAGGAGTCTTTTTAAGGAAGTTGGGGCCTAATCCCACACAATGAAGATTAGGGCCTACTTTTTCTTCTATTAGAAGCAGAGTTTCTGGTTTAATTCCTAGGTCCTTGATCCATTTTGAGTTAAGTTTTATGCCTGGTGAGAGATAGGGGTTTAATTTCATTTTGTTGCATATGGATGTCCAGTTTTCCCAGCACTATTTCTTGAAGATGCTATCTTTTCTCCAGTGCATGTTTTTGGCACCTTTGTCTAATACAATTGTAATTTTCTGGGTTAGTCTCTGTGTCCTCTATTCTGTACCATTGGTCTACCAGCCTGTTTTGGTGCCAATACCATGCTGTTTTTGTTACTATTGCTTTGTAGTATAGTTTAAGGTCTGGTATAGCAATACCACCTGCTTCACCCTTCCTGCTTAGGATTGCTTTAGCTATTCTGGGTCTCTTATTTTTCCAGATGAATTTCATGATTGCTTTTTCCATTTCTATGAGGAATGCCATTGGGATTTTGATTGGAATTGCATTAAATTTGTATAGTGCTTTTGGTAGTATGGTCATTTTTTTTTTTTTTTTTAAATATGGTCTGTCGCTCAAGGTCAAGCCCAATATTTTTTTTTTTGAGAGAATTTTAATATTTATTTTTTAGTTTTCGGCGGACACAACATCTTTGTTTGTATGTGGTGCTGAGGATCGAACCCGGGCCGCACGCATGCCAGGCGAGCGCGCTACCGCTTGAGCCACATCCCCAGCCCAGTATGGTCATTTTGATAATACTAATTCTGCCTACTCAAGAGCAAGGTAGATCTTTCCATCTTCTAAGGTCTTCTTTGATTTCTCTCTTTAGGATTCTTTAATTTTCGTCGTGTAGATCTTTCACCTTGTTTGTTGATTCCCAAGTATCTTTTTTTTTTTTTAGGATATTGTGAATGAGGTAGTTTTTCTCATTTCCTTCTCAGAGGATTTGTCACTGATATACAGAAATGCCCTTTGATTTATGGGTGTTGATTTTATATCCTGCTACTTTGCCAAATTCATTTACTAGTTCTAGAAGTTTTCTGGTGGAGTTTTTGGGGTTTCTAGGTATAGAATCATATCGTCAGCAAATAGAGCTAATTTAAGTTCTTCTTTTCCTATACATATCCCTTTAATTTCTTTCGTCTAATTGCTCTGGCTAGTGTTTCAAGAACTATGTTGATTAGAAGTGGTGAAAGAGGGCATCCCTGTCTTGTTCCTTATTTTAGAGGGAATGCCTTCAATTTTTCTCCATTTAGAATGATGTTGGCCTGAGGCTTAGTGTAGATAGCCTTTACTATGTTGAGATATGTTCCTGTTATCCCTAGTTTTTCTAGTGTTTTGAACATAAAGGGTTGCTATATTTTGTCAAATGCTTTTTCTGTGTCTATTGTAATGATCATATGATTCTTATCCTTAAGTCTGTTGATGTGATGAATTACCTTTATTGATTTCCGTATGTTGAACAAACCTTGCATCCCTGGGATGAATCCCACTTGATCATGGTGCACAATCTTTTTGATATGTTTTTGTATTCAAATTGCCAGAATTTTATTGAGAATTTTTGCATCTATGTTCATTAGAGATATTGGTCTGAAGTTTTCTTTCTTTGAAGTGTCTTTGGAATCAGGATTATATTGGCCTCATAGAATGAGTTTGGAAGTGCTGCTTCTTTTTCTATTTCCTGAAATAAATTGAAGAGTATTGGTATTAGTTCTTCTTTAAAGGTCTTGTAGAACTGGTCTGTGTATCCATCCCATCCTGGGCTTTTCTTGGTTGGTAATCTTTTGATGGCTTCTTCTATTTCCTCACTTGATATTGGTCTGTTTAAGTTGTGTATATCTTCCTGACTCAACCTGGGCAGATCATATGTCTTAAGAAATGTGTTGATGCCTTCAATGTCCTCTATTTTATTGGAGTATAAGGTTTCAAATAATTTCTAATTATCCTCTGTATTTCTGTAGTGTCTGTTGTGGTATTGCCTTTTTTATCATGTATGCTGGTATTTTGAGTTTTTTTTTTCTCTCTCTCTTCGTTAG